ACACTTTTTTGTTGAATACATAATTCCATATGTGTTCCTTCATAGTTTTGATGTCTTCAGTATTAATCTAGAATGTGGAAAATAATAAACATGAAGAAAAACCATTGAATGAAAAACTTGTGACTGGTACTGTTTCTGTATATACATTCTCTCAATATATATATATATATATATATATATATATATATATATATATATATACATAAACTTGATCACTTTAAAACTTAGTAAATAATCTGGAGTGACAATGTAAGTTAGTTCAAGATTGGATTCAATATGTATCATACTTTGTAAATATTGGCCTGTTTGGCTTTCAGGTGACTTCTGCTTGTTTTGTTACTGATTATTTACCTGATCTTTGACTCCAGTTACTCTCATTAAACCTGCAGACAGCAGTGCACCTAAAATTCTGACATTTCTTGAATGCGAGCCGAACATGATTTGCGCAACACGGCTGCAGAGGGCTTTGACCTGACCCGCTGTGCGTGTTGTATCTGCCTGTAAAATGTCAGTTGGGAAGGGCAGAGGTGTGAAGGCTGTCTGCGTGTTCGGCCTTCCTGATTTTATCTCTGGCTTTCGCTGACCTTTCGCTATTCCGCTGTTAGGCTCTGATATTTAAGACAGGTACTGTGGCTCTCTCATCTTGACAGCACCTTGTTCGTAGACTTGACAGCCTCAATGGCTGAAGTTCGAAGGAAGAAAAGCCCCAAGTGGAGATGGAGAGATGTAAAACATTTGCCTTCAGCGGCGGCGCTCTGGAGTGACAGACTGTCAGTCTGAGGTTCAGGGTCAAAGACTTCAAAGCCTCAGTCAGGAACTGCTGAAACAGGACATCATCCCATAAAGCCTGTCGTTAAGGTCAATGAATCAAATGTAAAATTGTGAGCTCCAGTAAACGCCCAGTTAAGTCCTTATATAGAGACATTTATTTGCTTCATATCATTGCTGACAAAACCTCTCATCTCTCAAATGGTAACTTTGCAGGTAAAGAAAAAATGTTCTTAACATGGAATTTCAAGTATTTTTACAAGAAGTTTCACATAATTTAATGACTGAGATGTAAACAAAGTCATTTGGAGTGGCTTCACTTTAGAGAAACCTAACGATTTGAATTTTTTTACAGTGGTGGTGATAGGAACCAGGGGTCGCAATGTCTACGACACAAAAATACAGCCATTTTATTTACTATCCAAAATGACCGGTCAACCTATACATGTCTTTTGAGTTTTTCTGCGTAGATGCTTTTATATGTAATGTTGTTAATGGTGAAATAGTGGTAAAACTGAAAAAATAAGTTTTCTTTTGGGGACTATTTTGTCTCACAACACTCTGCATGTACCACTCCACCAAGAATGGATTAAAAAAATATATTTTAGGCCAAAAGCTTCACAAAAACTATAGTAAAACAATGTCTTGGGCATCAGGCAGTGTATTTATAGTTACTTTGTTTAATAACTTCAGTGCCAGTTTTAGCTTTGGGCCCTAAGGAAAACAAAAAATTAAAATGAAATTCAGGAGCTAAAGATAAAGTGTAGTGAAATGGCAGATAAAATAAAATACTACTAGTAGTACTAATAGTGCTGAAGGAAAGTAGTACTAATAGTACTACTAGTATTTAAGGAAATTAAAATAGTGCTCAGATAAAGTGCAGTGAAAATTTTAACTTAAAGTGCTAAAAATAAAACACAGTAAATAGCAACTAAAGTAAGGGATTAAAAGAAACTGAAATAGTGATTAAGATATATACATCTGCATCTACAGAAAGCTCCGTACTGTATGGCTGAAACACAAATGGCTTTATATAGAGCATTCATTGCATTATTTGGGGTATAGAGTTCAAATTTTCTTACCCTCGTAAAGCGCTGCATAGGAAGTTTGGGGCAATTTCGGATTCACCCAACGGCAGAAAGCTAGTCTTTCTGTGAACAACAGCAGCAACAAGCAACAAGCTTTCAAACATATTTGATCATTTGCTCGCCCTATAATGAGACAAGAGTCTGTGATAATGACTTATGAACATGTACCTATCTGCATTTTGTTGTCTCATTTCACTGTCAGCGGCTTTTCTGTCATGTTTCAGCCCCGATGGGTCATGACACTTCGAAGCAATCCTGTCACATCTGCTGCTACTACATCTGCATGGATGGCAAATAAAGAACAGCTCATTGTTGTTACACATGCCTAGTCATACTTTGACTGAACATTACGAATTGCTTAGGCCTATTGGGGCACCCTGCACTCTTCAGAAATGTATAATGGCTTATCTAATAAATAACGTTAAAATATATGACGACATTCTTGCCATGGGGGCTTCCCCGGCAGGTGGGGTGCCTATGCCACTTAAAGGAAGAACCTGCACTGAATAGCTTATGAGGGAGCCTTTAAAGGCGTTAAACTCTGGTTCCTACGAAGCTCTGCTGGTAACATGCCATATAAATAACAAGAATGCTATTATTGCAGATCCTAATGCGTGACCACGACTTAGTAAGGCATGGGAACGAGATCCTAATGCGTGGCCACGACTTAGTAAGCAATTGGAAGAAGATAATTAAGTTGTGGCCACGACTTAGTAAAGCGTGGGAACGAGATCATGCCTTATTAAGCTGTGGTCAAGGATTAATTATGCCATTTCTATGCCTTAACAAGCTGTGGCCATGCATTAAGATCACATTCCCATGCCTTACTAAGTCATGGCAACGCATTATTTTTATTTACATGGGATGTCACCAGCAGGGCTCCGTAGGTTCCCATCACCACCACTATAAACAATTCTGACTCTGTAAGTTTCTCTAAAATGGAGCATTTCACCCCAAACCACTCTGACTTACATTACTTTTTCATTATTAATTTTGAAAAATCGGTGGAACTCAGTGGAAGATTTTGTTCCAACTGAACCATTTCTGCTGGTCCATTCATCATGACATGTTCACACAATGAGCAGCTTTCCAAATGGTGTAAAAAATAAATAAATAAAAAAGGACAAGCTTTTCAGCGATGATATGTTGCTATTGTTGGAAGGCCCTTGGCTTTGCAGCATCAAAAGCTGGCCTGCACCTTGCAGGGGTTCCTGATTGAGTCTTTAATCTGTGTGGCATGTTGCTGACAGGTTGTCCACCAGGCTGCCATGGACAAACGTGTGCTCTGCAGTTTCACTCTTATTAAAGCTTGTAGGACTGTGAACAGACACTGCCTACCGACATGGTGTGAACAGGCACCTTACGCTGGTATGGGAATTCGATAAGACGTAATGATGTACCACTGTAAGTGACTCACTCGCTTGAGTGAGTTTTAAGAAGTCAAATTAGAACGGACTGTCCTATTTGTCCAATTTAGTCAGCTCTTGTGCCTGTTCAGTTAGATTATCTCTGGTGGTTCAGTTGAGTCAATACGACACTTATTTGTGAGACAGGACATGGTGGCCTTCTGGGGATTTTATAAAGTGACCATCCTTGTTGATGTGTGTGATTCCAGTGGTCCATTACACAGTGTTCCAATCACTGAAGTAGTTTAAGAGCTGAAGAGAGTCATTAGGATTAGCTCTTATTTATTTTAGAGGGTTTTGCTCAGTTCTCTCTGAAGTGCATGTCCTGGACACCGCTGTGTTTTCTTCATGAGGAGTTCTTCTGAGCCAGTGGCATACAGTACTGTGCAAAATTCAGAGACCACCCTTGTATTGATTTCATTTCCAGTCAAAATGGCTATTAAGTACAAGTTTTTGGAATTTTCAGCATCAGGAAAAAAGCAGAAAACATATATTCAAAAGAATGTTATAATATAATAAAATATAATAATAATATAATATAATCTATATAATAATATAATATTTAGTTTTTCAGTATTTAGTGTGTCCACGCTTTACCTTCATTACAGCTTCTGTTCTTTTCAGAAGACTCACTTTCAGAATTTTTTCAAATCAATATTTTTCCACACCTCCAAAGTTCAGTCCTAGAATTTGGCATTTAGCATTTTCACATAATCCAAGTAATCACAAACACATTCAGTGATGTTGAGGTCTGGACTCTGGAGTGGACAGTCCATTGTCCAGCTTCTTTGTTTGATGTGTCCGTCTCCTTTTCTCAGTGAGGTTCTTCTTGAACAGCTACACATCCTTTCAGACCCATAGCGCTGAGTCGTCTTCTCACAGTGGAAGGATGGACAGAAACACCTGTGGATGTTTTCAGATCTGAAGCAGCTTGATTTTCTCCTCTCTCTCAGAGATGAAAGCTTTAAGTGCTGTTTATCTGACAGGCGCAGTTTTGGTGTCTACCAGGTCTTCCAGGTGGTTGTTAGGAGCCCCATTTTTCTCTGTAGGTTTTAATCAGTTTTTGAACTCCAGTTTTGGAAACTCCTGTTTCTTCATCTATTTTTATTTGACTCTTCCCCTCCTAATGCAAGTAGATTGTTTTATATCCAATAACACTTTATTTGGATAGTCCACTTTAGATGCTCATGTTACATTCAACTAAATATCTACTAAATTGACCTTAATTTTCTTTAACTCTAAATCTGGCTCTAATCCTAATCTTAACCTCAACCCAAAACCTAAACCCAACCCTCACCCTGGTCCTAGCTTTAACCCTGGCCCAAATCCTAACCCTAAACCCCATCACTGTTTAGAATCAACTGAGTTTCAACAGATAGTTTGTTAACAATTTCTACATCTGTAGATAATCTATAGGGGACTATCCAAATAAAGTGAGACAGAAAAATCTGAATAACTTAATAACTTAACGGCCATTTAGACTGGAAGTTAAATAAAAGACAGGTGGTCTCAGACTTTTACACACTACTGTAACTCATTAATTTTACATGATTAACCACATTAGAAAAGTGGACAAATAACATGAGTCGATCTTAGATTTGTTTTTCTGTTCTTATGAAAGATATATAGAAGAATTTACTGTGTATATGAATTTCATATGCGTTTTGGATTGTTTTTTAACCTCACGTTCTTCCACTATCTCAGAGTTCAGCTTCATTGCTCTGTCTCTGTGGTGCAGGCAGGTGCTGGAGGCGGCTAGAAGAGCGAATCTAACAGGCCACTTCAAGTTTGTTGGGTCAGACAGCTGGGGAGCCAAGAGCTCTCCAATCCTGGACCATGAAGATGTGGCGGAGGGGGCGGTCACTATTCTGCCCAAAAGAGCATCTATTGAAGGTAATGGCTGCTTGAATAACCAGCACATTTACTCAGCTCAGATCATTTGCATAAAATTCATCCAGCAAGAGAGAGGAGACATAGCAGGGTATGCATCAGCGGATGCTATGTTGGTCAGATGTGCACATCTGTCTTATGATTCATTCGGTTTCATGTTATCTAAACAATTCAAATGGAAAAAAAAACAGTATTTGTATTGTATTTAGCATGATGTCACAGAGTGTACGCTGCAAAAAGCACCACAATCTAATACACGTAGCTGCGGGTAGGTCTGGGTGGGCTTGGGCCTACCCAGATTGATCACCTGTCTACGAAATTGATTGAGGAAAGAACATTTATCAAGCCAAATTTTTAAATAATGTACTTTGATTTGTTTTCTATGAGTGCTGTCACTGTATTACAGTGAATCAAATTATTATGCTCTCTGCCAAGCTCTGCCTTTATTTACCAACTCTCCAATCACTACACATCAACTGTTGCTTTCCGCCGTTGTCTCAAGCCCTCAGGCCATTGTCAGCATGCCAGTGTTGAATTTGAAGCTTCAGCTGTGGGTAAAAGAGTGACTGGGGATGTGAAAAGTGAGATTTTGTTCTGTAGAGTATGTTGTTTTCTACTTATTGTCAGTTTTGCTACAGAAGCTGAAATCTAATGTTACTTGGTGTAGGTTTTTAAGTCTGCTGTGTTTTTCCACTTCTTTGCTGATCTCAGCTCAACATTAGTTGTGTCATGTTTATTGGGCAAAAGTGCTTGTGGTGAGCAGATGCATGCAGTATAGTCTTTATAGTAAAGGGTGTTGCTGTGTTTGTTGTGTTTATGTGAATCCAGTGTTGTGGTTGATTGAGAGAATATGGTGGTATCACCACAGAGTTTGTTGTGTTGGAATAATCAGGGAGATGACTGCACAGCTCTCAGGAATAGGCTATAGCCTGATGTAAAAACATTGTAGGACATTGGAGCGTTTGAAAATTCTATTTATCAAATTGGCCCACCCACTTTTTTCACAGGCCAACCCAAAAGTTGATTTCTGCCTATGCCACTGCCCGTGTCCCTGGCTACTGTGCCATAACCATGATTATTCACATCCTACAATGGTGCCACAGTAGTCTTTAACCCTCTGGGGTCTACGAACATGCTCACTTGTCATATTTGATGTTTCTACACATGTTTCTCTATCTTTGCGATAATGCAGTGTAGAAATATGGTTCAAACATTTCCTGAACCTGCAGTGTCGCCCTTTCCATTTCATCTAATTGCAAGATCATATCTGACTCACTTCCGCAGTTATGAGACTATGAAGAGCGGTTGAAGTATACACCATGTTTAATTGGATTTGTGTGTCCATGTATATTTTGTTTGAAACTGACCAATGGACTTTCAGAAAATCACTAAGGACTGACCCATCACGTCTGAAACCCTCCATTCCTTATTCAGTCCACATTGGAGACACACGTGAAATGGTGTGCAGATAGTTTACAGTGGCTGAAGCAGTTTTGGAAAGAAGTGACAAAGATAATTGATGCATTTTGATATGAAACACATGGGTATCATGCTATATGCAAGAGCCTTTAAAGGCAAAGAAGATATGAAAGAAGATATAAAGATATGTAAAAATTGAGAAAATGCCCTCAGACCCCAGAGGGTTAAGGTTAGATTTTCCATTTAAAGTTAAAGAAAACCCTCCTGATGATATATCTTGAAGGTGGGAGGAACATCTGAAATGCTGCAGCTGTTTTGGGGTGGATTTTTGGTTTACATTTTATTTATTTATTTATTTTATTTTTTTTCTGTCAGCCGAAGTATGCAAAAGCAAGGCAGGTAACTAACCGTACGGCTAAGAAGCTGAATGTCTTATTTTAGCTATATAGCTGTGATAAATTATCATAACTCATCATTACAGTGGAGAGAATGGATTACTTTAGCAACAGAAATGAGGAGGAAGTCAGATGAGGAGAACAACAAGCTAAAAGCTAAAGCTAGCAAAGTAGCTACTTGGCTATCTAGATATTTTACCTCAGTTTGACTTCTCTTCCTGGTGAAAAGGGTAAAAAATGTCTCTGGCATCCGTTTCGTGCTGAATAAATATCGAATCACTGTTTTCTTTATGATTTTGTTTGATTACTGAGGTAAGAGCTATGCTAATGCTAGCTTTATGGTTTTGCTAGCCTTTAGCTCAGTAGCTATGCTAGCAGCTTGGATTGGATTCCCAATGATTCTGTGATTTGTGTAATGTATGGTGGGCATTATAGAGAGAGAACAGTGATAAACAAGTAACCTGAATGACATAAAATTGTAAATTCTGGCAAACCAGTGAGGCTGAGGGATATAATGCTGTGCTGGACACTGCAGAACATGACCAATAACATATTCAAATCTAGTTTTAGGCCAGACTGCCATTTTATTATTCATCCATTATTCATTTCGTTTTTGACCTATTTTTGCTTGTTGGATTTTTCTATTGATATTTAGTCTAACTCAGCGTGCTAATGATTTAGCACTGAAAAGGCTCTGTTAAAGCCTTAAAATATACTTCATAGACTCTCTCAGTTTCTAACCCAGAGCCCCTTTTTTTCGCCAGGTTTTGATCAGTACTTCACGTCCCGCTCTCTCGAGAACAACCGCAGAAATATCTGGTTTGCTGAGTTCTGGGAAGACGACTTCAGGTGCAAACTGACACGTCCGGGCATCAAGCTCGACCCTGAGAAGAAGAAATGCACAGGTGAGGCTACCTGATAAGTCAGAGAGAGAAGAAGAGAGGGAGAGAGAGATTATTGAGAGTCGTCTCTTAAAGAGCACCATTTGATGTTTGTGACAGGGACAGGTGACTTGAAAGGCCTTAAATTCTCTCTTTGTCCTACTTTTCTGATCCCTCTTCACCTTCTCTTTCCTTCATGTCTCACCTTTTCTGCTGTTTCGCTGAATTTACATCTTTTTTCCCTACCTCTGACTTTCTCTCCCCTCTCTCTCTCTCTCAGGTAATGAGCGGATTAGTAGAGATTCTCCATATGAGCAGGAAGGAAAGGTGCAGTTCGTAATCGACGCTGTGTATGCCATGGCTCACGCTTTACACAACATGCACCAGGACCTGTGTCCGGGGGCCATCGGTGTCTGTGACAAAATGGACCCTGTGGAGGGACGCTTACTGCTCAGCTACATCCGCTCTGTCAACTTCAATGGTGAGTCCAGATTGACGTTATAACCAGGTAGTGACATGTATGTAGATTAAAGCGATTTTTCACCGACTTTTCATTCGACTTTTTTTTCTTAGGCAAGTGCGTTATCTTGAGAAAAGAATATGTTGTACTAAATGGCCATTTCCAGTGAGAAATAATCAGTTGTGAGTAACAAATAGGAGTGATTTATACATTTCTAAGTGCATGTAGCTATGGCAAGCAGCAAAAAAACAGACTCAAAGCTTTGAGTGTGGCTGCTGAATGTCTTTTTTGTTGTCATATATGTGACACACAATAACTACTTTGTGCATGCACGACTGCCAAAACAGTCCATCTCTTTAGTACTTTTACTATTTATAGACAACAGGTTCATACACTGTCAGAAACCACATAAGCAGGTCTACAGTTTGAGGTAAAAATGTGATGAAACAGTTTGCACAATGCTAACTGGTGTGGTATATATACACCAATCAGGCAAACATCATGACCACCTCCTTGTTTCTGCGCTCATTGTCCATTTTATGAGCTCTACTTACTATATAGGTGCACTTTGTAGTTCTACAATTACAGACTGTAGTCCATCTGCTTCTCTGCATACTGTGTTAGCCTCCTTTTACCCTGTTCTTCAGTGGTCAGGACCCCCACTGACCCTCACAGAGCAGGTACTAAAAACTCCAGCAGCACTGCTGTGTCTGATCCACTCATACCAGCGCAACACACACTAACACACCACCACCTCGTCAGTGTTACTGCAGAGCTGAGAATGATCCACCACCCAAATAGTACCTGCTCTATGGGGGTCCATGGGGGTCCTGACCGCTGAAGAACAGGGTAAAAGGGGGCTAACAAAGTATGCAGAGAAACAGATGGACTACAGTCTGTAACTGTAGAACTACAAAGTGCACCTATGTAGTAAGCGGAGCTGATAAAATGGACAATGAGGGTAGAAACAAGGAGGTGGTCATAATGTTATGCCTGATCGGTGTATATACATTACTTGTTAGCTACAGTAGCCATGTAGCTCCAGTGCAGAACTAAAGAAGCAAACTCTGGACAACAAACATGTCTTGGCTGATCAAGAACATTTGGGGTGAAGGGGAAAAATGTGTAAATTAGATTTTCCCTGGACTATTCCTGTAAGCTCTGCTGTTATCACTGTGTAGCAGGCATTTTTTATCCTAAATGTCTTGGTGTAGCACAGTTTTCCTGAGATGAGAGGAGCTAAAAGCTCTTGATAGGGAGTTACAGATGGTGATTCATTACTGTGTGAGCTTCCAGACACGAAGCAGGTTTGTGGCGTTGAAGCGTTTGCTTTGAGTTGCACTGGGGCTGCTGTAGGTTAGCTAGTTTGTGAAGCGTATTGTGTATCAATTCCGCTCCCATGCCCCACAGGGATACTTCATTTGTGTGCATAACTCTGGCAAATAGAGGGCAAGCATACACTCCACCAACCAGAGCATATCTCTCTTTCTGTCTCTCTTACTCTGTGCTCCTTCTCGCACTCCCCATCCCTGCCTGGCCTGCCCCCATTCCCCCCCCGCCCAACCCAGCATTTCCAAAAATTTCTCTACCCCCACTTGGCCCACGTAAGAAGCTTCTACAAAGAGAAGTGTCCATTAAATTTTTTACTCTGCGCTGTAGTTCGACTGCCATCACAAAAAGGACACTCTGTTGCGCAAGGAATGCCTGGAGAAGAGCATCTGAACAAGGAATGTGCATTATTTCATAAGAAAAAACACATTAAGTAATTATTTTCTTCCCCGCGTTTCAAATGACACTCTACAAAAAGACAAGAGGAAAGCCTCTGTTCCTTTGGTGCATCCGCAATGACTCAAGCTGCTTATCAAAACGATTAGGAACAGCGAGTCTTGTCGAATTATGCAGAGTAATTGATGTAATGCAGTAGATCAGCCGCTTGGGATTGACGGATAAGAAATAGAAAAGCAGCTCTCGCAGGCATGCTGCCCCTCGCAGGACGGACCGTGCCATTGCTGCTGTCTTCCGCTCTTGCTTATTCTCCGTTTGCTTTGAAAATCTGATCAGGGCCAAAAATAGAGCTCTCTATATGTAATATTCATCAGGTTAAAGTATGCATGAATGGATCATCCATAAGCAGCAGCTGTTGGCGGGGTAGAAGTAAGAGAACATGGAAAGCTCAGCGGGATTGGAGAGGCAGGAAACAGAGGGGACTAGGGACTTCCCTCACGCATATAGCCTCTTAATACTGCTGCACTCAGAGTGGTGGTGGAAGGGGGGGATTTGAGTTTACATCAATATCATGGTTTGCTTTTGGTACTACATTGCCAGTTAAAGGTACTCACTCATCTGACATGGAGGAAAAGCTAGTTTTGGCTGTTCTTAAGCTGTACAACACGACACAAAGATTACGACTACTTATTTTCTGTTTATTTTTGTCAGTTTTAAAATGTTTGTATCATTTTTCATGTTCTCTCAAATTACTATTTCATGTTTACCTACTTGTCAATCAAGTGCATTAACCTGCCCCTATGAAGCGCAACCTGGTTCTTTTTTCACCCCCATTTTGTCCAATTCCATCCGCTAGCTAGGTGTCTCCCAATCACTAATCCAACGTCATTGGAGAGCTCAACACGCTTGGAGGAGAACACTAACTGCCAACTCTATCAGCTAACAGACACCCACGTTGACTAGAATCTCTCTGAGGGGTTGAGGGAGAAGGAGGACCATCCTACCCACTCAGAGCGAGAGGCCACTTGTAGTGTCATCACAGGGATCAAACTTGCAATCTCCTGGTGCTGGCACATCTCATGTTTATAAAGGCATTTTCTAAACCTCTACCTAGTGCACAAACAGTTCATCACAACCACAACGTGAGCAACACCTGATACATCATAATTACCATAATCGTTTTACCATAACCTGTTCATAAACACGCACATAAGCCTCATTTGAAAGTCAGAAACCTTATACAAAGAAGCTGAAGCCCTTTGATCAAGTCGACTGAATAAATCTGACATACATTCATGCTTCCATCTTCATTCTTGTGAGAAATGTATTAGAATAGACGTGTGCGTTTTGCTGTGTTTACTGAGTTTCTTGCTGTGGTAACTGAAATTGTTTGCTGCACTGTTTGCTAGACTAATTATCTCAGTAATATGTCTGCAGCTGCTGTACCTACAATCTTTCAATCTAGCAGCCCCTAGTTGAGGTGAGGGTGAGCGCTGTGCAAATGCTGGGCCTTAATAATGGGGCCTGAAAAGTTAGCTTCAGTCTCTGGTATTGGGGTTTGTCTTTTTCTGGATAATGTTTATTAGATCTGAATCCTGTGTTTTCTTTGTGCTCTTTGCAGGCAGCGCTGGCACTGGCGTTCTTTTCAATGAGAATGGAGATGCTCCAGGCCGCTATGACATCTTTCAGTATCAAATGACCAACACAAGCAACCCGGGATACAAAGTCATCGGCCAGTGGACCAATAACCTCCGACTCAATGTGGGTTTACTCTTTTTTTATGACACAACATTAGTTTGGAAGGGCAATTCAGAACTAATGATCTCATGTCTGTACAAAACATTGAAATACACCATGTTTGCAACATTCTTGCAACATGCTTGTTATGTTCTTCTATTACTGTCCCTGCTGAGCTGACATGTGAGTGTTTTCAAATTGTTTTGTATTCTTGTTGATGCAGAGATTTTTGCAAATGTTGTTGGTGCGGAGGGTTTTTTTTTTAAATAGAGAGTATGTTTTTTTCAAAAATATCTGGATATTTGTGGATGAGGCCTTACAGCTTCTCCTAATAGCAAGTGAGCATTCAAATAAAGTATTGCATCACGCCTTTTTGAGGTTACAGAAACAGGGATAGAAAGTGGGTCTCCATCAAAAACAGCATATTGCATCGCTCTACATCGTGCTCTGCCATTTGCATGTGGTGTAGACAGCTTTATTAATTATTATGGAAGCATTATGGTTCATTGTGCTTGCTCACATCTCTTGCTGTTAGGACATGGTGTTAGTTTATCAAAAGTAAATTCTGTAGTCAAGTGTTGAGAAATAACACACGTCACCCTTGGATAGTGGTTACCCTCAGCTGAAGGTTCAGTCTCAAGTAGGCATCTTGGAAAATGAGCTTTGCACTGCAGTGCAGTAGGTTGCAAGGTCTCTTCCTTATGCAACTCTATCAATAGGCAGTGCTCTAGATGTGCAACCTTTGTCAGACCTTTCTTCTCCTCACAGGGAATGCTTGCAAATGCAAATATCTCAGTGAATATGTTTTCTTATAACAGCATCAATGACGTACTGTTAGTCTCGATCATAGTGGTCCTCAAGTCCTGGGGATCTTCTGCTCTGCACAGTTTCAAGTATGGTACACCTTATTCAGCTCGTGAGATAAGCCAGGAAGTCTTCAGGAGACTCTGGATTCCCTGTTGGGGCTGGGAATACTTGAATCTGCTCAGCACAGCAGATCCCGAGGACTGGACTTGAGAACTGCTGCGCTAATGTACCATGCACACTTTGAACCCACCCTGCTCTGTATGTGTCAGGTAGAGGAGATGCAGTGGTCCGGAGGCGACCGCCAGATCCCCTGACTCCGTGTGCAGTTTCCCATGCCGGCCAGGCGAGAGGAAGAAGATGGTGAAGGGTGTCCCATGCTGCTGGCACTGCGAGCTGTGCGACGGCTATCAGTACCAAGCGGACGAGTTTGCCTGTGAGATGTGCCCCTTCGACATGAGGCCCACACCCAACCGCACAGCCTGCAGGCCCACACCCATCATCAAACTGGAATGGCACTCACCCTGGGCCATCATCCCTGTCTTCCTGGCCATCCTGGGCATCGTGGCAACTCTCTCTGTCGTCATCACCTTCATTCGCTTCAACGACACACCCATTGTGAGGGCGGCCGGCCGAGAGCTCAGCTACGTACTGCTGACTGGCATCTTCCTCATCTACCTCATCACCTTCCTGATGATTGCTGAGCCAGGTCCTGTGGTGTGCGCTTTCCGAAGGCTGCTGCTGGGGCTGGGAATGTGTATCACCTACTCGGCCATGCTCACCAAGACCAACCGCATCTACCGCATCTTCGAGCAGGGCAAGAAGTCGGTGACACCGCCCAAGTTCATCAGCCCCACATCTCAGCTCGCCATCACCTTCATCCTCATCTCTTTTCAGGTGAGAATTTCATTTGATCTCTGACCAGAAAAGCCATGGGGCAGTCATGGGCTGGAGGTTAGGGAACCAGCCCTGTGACCAGAAGGTTGCCAGTTTGATCCCCTCTGCTGACAGTCCATGACTGAAGTGCCCTTGAGCAAGGCACCTAGCCCCCAGTTGCTCCCCGGGTGCTGTGGATAGGGCTGCCCACCACTCTGGGCAAGTTTGCTCACTGCCCCCTAGTGTGTGTGCTCACTAGTGTGCATGTTTGTGGGTGTTTCACTGCACGGATGGGTTAAGTGCAGAGGTCTAATTCCACAGTGTGCAAACACAGTTGGCTGATGGTTCTGAATTCAAACTTGTGATCCAGTCAGATTTCAAGAGCATAAAGCAAGATGTGTTAGATTAGAGTTGAAGCTTTAAGGGTTTAGGGCCCATAGGCCCTGTAAGTATGTGGTCTGCATAGGATGCGTTTCGTTGGTTTAGGCAACTACCAAGCATAGCAAATTCCAGTATTCTGGACCAGGCAGGAGGGATGACACTGTTTGCTTGAACACCAGCCCGTTTCCCATAGGTAGTCAAATGTACCCCCTTCAATATACATTATTTTTTATTTTAGGCAGTTATACATTTAAACAAAATGAGCAAAAGAAAACTGCAAAACACTAATGAGATGTATCTACACACTCCCCATTTTTTGTCTTCAGTAATGTAGTCCTTTTCACCCTGCTCATCTCTCTCCTAATTACAGAATGCTTAACAGAGGACAAGTGTCTTAATAGCAGAGCTCCAAACAAGTTTGAGGAACGAAAACATAAAACTGCAATGAACAGTATTTTGCTAGGAACAAAAAGGACCCCCAAAACTCAATCATACTCCAATGGGAACTCCACAGATTTTTAAAAAAATGTATACATAATTAAATGGTTGAGATGTAAGCCTCACTCAGAGTGGTTTGGTGTGAAAACTTACAGAAGTCAGAATTGCTCACAGTCGTCGTGATGGGAACCAGATGTCTGAAAAGAATGCCTCTAAAGCTCCCCCACAAAAGGTTATTACATGAAATGGTCACAGATATGCCATCTGATGCCTTAGAAATTGTTTTACGTTAATTTCGGGATAACATTTTGGACTAAAACGTTTTTTTTTTATCTATGCATGGTGGAAGGTGCATACAGGGAAAGGTGTAGTGTTTGTCCTGCACAATTTACTATTTTCTCTGCTCCCAACACATTTTACCCAATTAACAACCTCATTAACAAGCCTGTCCTGCGCTGAAAATCTAACTAGCAACCATTTTAGGATGTGTTTTTGCATTTTTCCCCAGTAAAACATGGCCATTTCCTAACCTGCCCACAAGTAAATTACTGCTAATTGGATTTTAACATCAGAGCTAACATTTCTCCAGTTGAATGATGGCTGGAAACAGCATTTTGAGGAACTCTTGCTGAATTTAATCCATGTTCAGTTCAGACAAACCACTGAGCTGTTTATTGGCTAATGTTTATTACTTTTTCAACTATTCATACTTTGTATAATTTAAGAAATATTGTTCTCAGGCCTGGTCCTGGAGTACCCCCTGTCCTGCATATCTTTGTGTTTCCCACCTCTAACAGACCCACGTCATCTTAGGACAGGCTTGCTAATGAGCTGATTATTTGGGTAAGGGCGTGTTGGGAGCAGAGAAAATATGAAAATGTGGACAGGTGGTCCCACATAGAAAAATAACTCACTAGGCTCGACTGAAACCAACACCATATTGTTGGCCTACCAAGACACAGACATTACTCCGTAGGCTATTGACACTGTGCATGCCTTATTTTTCATTTAAGCACCTGCCCTCTGCATGCTCCTGGTTCTGATATATTGCCTGGTTTGACACCAGAACAGCTGTCAACCCGTTCTGCTTCTGTAGTGTTCCAGAAGTAACTGCTCTCAGCGATGTTTCTAGGTTTAAACAAGTGCAAAATACTGAGCTGTGGTTCTGTAGATTAAAAAAACATTGACAAAGGTCTCACCAGCCTTATCTTTTTCTATCCCTAGGGAAGTGTTCTGAATTATTTCCGAATACAAAGTCTAATAGAAAGGCACACTGCTTGACTCAGTGGGGTTCAGCACACTGTTGATGCTGCTAAGCTGCCTGCACATCTCATCAACTTGAGTGCTCAGCCTCACTCGGCTTGTACAGAGAACGGGGCGAGCTCACTGATATGCAGCAGCAGCAAATTCTGTGTCAGTGTCATTCACAGATGTGTGACTAATGTGCTGGAGACGGGGAGGGGAAAAAAAAGCCCCCCCCGCTCCTTTCCACCATCCTGAAAAGTTCCAGGTGCTAAGTAGCTCCTTGTTACTGCTGATGTACGCTTTTGCAGGGGGAATATTATTAAAGGCATTGTGGTTGCAGCTTAGTGTGAGCGTGATGTGCATGAGTCAGTGGAAGTGGGGCGCGGGGGAGAGGAGATTAGCGGCCCACAGGCGGCGGATTGATTGACAGCAGGATGCGTTCCTGCTCCGCCCTCCCGAGCGTGACGGCTGAGGTGTCAGCGAGCCCCAGCGGTTTCTCCTGACAGCAACATCTGTCTCCACGGCAACATGCGGCTGTTCTGCCTCCCCTCCTGGCCCTGGAACTTTCTCTTCCGGACGTTTCTGGAGTTACCTGACATGCCCCTGCGAACAGGTGGAGAGATGCTAGGGTGGGCGATTTCCTGTTTGGAGCAGGCGGTGTTGTCTTCATGCGCTTCCGACATCCAGCTGCTGCAGTCTGAGGAGGCCTGCCACCGTTACAGGCGAAGGAAAGACTAATGCTGTGGAACAAGCGTGTGAGAGCAATGAATGCTGCAGTTTACTCTGTCTCTTTCTTTCCCTGTGGTGTCAGGAGGGTCAAAACCCCTAAATTAAACCTCATTAAGTTGAAGTTTAGTAAGGCCAATTAAAACAATTATCTTGTGCAGGTCTAAAACAAGGTTCTTTCCGCTGAGTTTTCCACTGCAAGCCAAGATCTGCACAAATCTTTCCCACAGCAAAAACAACAGATATTAGCAGTTGCTTGAATTCCCTCATTATAACAAGAGCATGTTTGCGTTATTAAAAGAATTTTTCATAATTTGAAGATGGTTGTTTCTGTTCCACTGAACAAAGACCAAACCACTCAAATAAAACTGAATATTACCGTGTTTGAATTAATGGGACTGCGAGCAATGATTCAGTTAGTTTGGCCGTAGACTCATTTTTTAGCACTGATGGCCCTCGTGTCTACATTTAATGCAGTTTAATCAGATTGCAAACTTTATATGTGATAATGTATGGCTGATTTTCAAAGGTATACTAGTATCACTTGAGCCCAACAGGTTTTTCTCAGTTACGAGATGGGCAAAGCATCGAACACTGTTCTAGCATCAACTAGGGATGTGCATTCTGACTCGTTTTGATATTCAAGGATCCAGTTTTTTAGATGGTAACACTGGTGTCAGATGAGTACCAGAGGCTGCCTCTTCAGATGAGCTAATGAGCTAGCACCGCAGGCAATACTAGTGTTGGATGATGATACGTTTTCATCTTCTACCCAAGGTATTTTCTCCTCAGTAGACAATGTGCTAACATATTAGTTTGTCAGAGAAATATATTTTCACTGTTTCTGAACATCAGCTAGAACAGTTAGCCTAATTAGCAATAAAGCAGGGCCAGAGCTGGTTGCGCTATTTCTGCCTTCTCAGATGCATCCTTAACACCACATCCTTGAAAACGCACACACATTGAGGCGCTTGTCTTTCATAGTAACAAAGCATAATATAATACATTTACTTACTCGCAAATATGAGCAAAACTGTCACATTTTACACCCCTATTAAAACATAAAAGAATAAGTGGCCTTTTTTTCATCTTCCCATGATGAAAGTAACAAATACAGTAAAGTAATAAGCCACAAGAGGCTGTGCATTACAATGATTTTATCAGGCACAATGGTTATTACTATTGTGTTACAGGTTATTAGGCACAATGCAAAGCAGAGTGAAACTCCTTAACCATGAAAAAATCACTAACACACAGCCTCAAGTGGCTTATTGCTTTTATACATACTGCTATAATAAAATATGATAGAATTCACAAGTATTCAATAAATAATTTATGAATTCTTAAGTTATTAACCTTTTATTCCACAGGGTATATTTTGGTTTTTCCATCTGAATTTACATGAACAAATCGTAAGGCAAATTATTTAATAACTGCATGAAATAAATGTAAATTTTTATTTTATTTATTTATTTATTTTTTGTAAAATTAACAGAAAATGTGTTTTATGTTCATACACATATCGTTATAGGCTTACAATTTACTGCTGAAAGCCAAAAATCTTAGACGCTCCTTGTATTTATTTATAAAAATAATTTTTACAGAGCAGATCACTGAAAAGACGCCACTTGTTTATAGTTCATAGCCCAGATTTGTGGAAAAATGGGTCGACTTTCAGTAGAAAAAAAAAAAATTGTTACTTCTTCTTCTTTTATTATAAGGGTTTAGAATTACATCACCCATATATTTGACTAGAAAGAAGACAGTTACAGCTCTCATATGACACCCACCTTTAGAATGTAGCTTATGAAATATGAAAGTTATGAAGAATATGATGTAGTGCGTTTTGGAACCACCGGTGGTCTCAAGGAGTTGAAAAGGTTAATAAATATTAATCACGATAAACAATTAAGAATTAAAATACTAGATCCTGCACCCAAACAGTACATAACATGTCTAACAAATAGTCATTTGGGATTCATCCACATGTGCACAAATCCACACTGGACTAATACTTGGATGCAGAAGCCAGAATGAATTTTAGAATTTCATAGTGCACTACATAAGAATGAGGGAGCCATTTGAAATTGAAATATCAATAATTTAAAAATTAATAGTAAGCACATTTACTTAGCTAAAAACAGCAATGAAGAACACTTTCTGTTCCAGCCAATATTTTGGCCAAAATCTTGAAATACAGTGGTCAGAAAAAGGCATTTCAGATGAATGTCCAAAAGAAAAACAAAAACTTGAGTACATGTGCACACACCCCAACATCAATGTGTAGACACACTGTATAAGGCAGATATTCTAGTATCAATATAATTTAATATAAAAAGAGTATTTTTCATGACACGGTGATGCGGGGTGTGTTACATCAGCCATCCTCGACAGCTACCTTATCAAGAGCAGACATTTGAGTGGACAGTTTGGCTATATAACCAGGACTCTGGCCCAAAGTGCATTTGCTCTATGAGTATTTGTTCCCCAGATCAAATCTATTTAATGACCCCTCTATTAGAGCGAGTGTTCAAAGTTATACTCACTCTAACATCTTCCAGTGCACTGCTTTGGAGACTCACTCCAGTTCTCCATCCTCTTCCTCCCACAGGTAGTAGGAGTGTTCATCTGGTTCGGGGTGGTACCGCCCCACACCATTGTGGACTATGAGGAGCAGAGGCCACCAAATCCGGAGCTGGCACGAGGCATCCTGAAGTGTGACATGTCTGACCTGTCGCTTATCTGCTGCCTGAGCTACAGCATCGTGCTGATGGTCACCTGCACCGTCTATGCTGTCAAGAGCAGAGGCGTTCCCGAGACCTTCAACGAGGCCAAGCCCATCGGCTTCACCATGTACACCACCTGCATCATCTGGCTGGCCTTCGTGCCCATCTTCTTCGGCACGGCACAGTCCACGGAGAAGGTGAGAGGGACCCCTTGTAGCGCCTGTCTTGGTGTAGAACTTAGCTTCTGTTATTTGCTGCTTAAAATATGTTCATGTTGACTATAACAAATAACCTGAACATACATTTAGAATGTGAATAATTGTTGAAGTAACCTGTTGTAGACATGCCTACTTGCCTCCTACAGTGGTGTCACCAAAGCCTCAATTAGGATTTTCCAATTAAAGACAGGAAACCCCCATCAGATGATGTATCTTGAAAGTGGAAGGAACTTTTGAAAAAGTGTTTTGTGTTGGGCCCCCATTAACTGCTAACTGACTAATGCAGAAGGAAGAAGGAAGCCAGATAGTTAACATTACTGCTTGGAAGCCAAATATCACGTCTGTATTTATTACTTTTACATCAGAGCACGCATGATTGATACTGGAGTGAGCAAAAATTGATAGACAACAACATAAAAAATTATACAAAATCATGAAGTTTACTGCATAACATGACAAATAACACATTAAATGCTATTTTAGGTCGGAATGCCCCTTTAAGAAGTATATTTTATTTGAGCCACCTATCAAGCAACATAAACTTTTTTAGCTATGCGGATGACACCCAATTATACATTTCCATTCCTTCTAATGATCAAGACTCTGTAGACAGACTATCCAGCTGTGTGTCAGATATTTCTCAGTGGATTTTTCCAAAATTTGGAAATTTTCTACAATTAAATCATGAAAACAGACATACTGATTGTTGGTACAAAAACAGAAAGCTGCTTTATGAGAAACCTGGTTCTTTAGCTTCATATACCAAGCCTGAAGTATGAAACCTGGCCTTAGACTCTGAGCTCCGTTTTATTCCGCATGTAAACGCAGTCACTAAAGTAGCTTTCTGTCATTTGAGAAATATCGCTAGAGTTCGGCCTTTTCTATCTCAGAGCGACGCAGAGAAACTTGTTCATGCATTTGTTACAAGCAGAGTTGATCACTGTAATGATCTTCTTACTGAACTTCCTAAGAAAACTATACATCCCTTACAACTCGTACAAAATGCATCAGCACAGATCATAACAGGCTCTAAATGACCTTAAAGCACCTACTTACATCACAGAGTGTCTGTCTGTTTATGTTTCAACACGTGATCATAAATCTGCAGATACTGACCTTCCACAAACACCTTCTGTATAATACAGAAAACATGGAGAGACTCGTTCAGTTATTATGCTTCTAAACTGTGGAACTAAATTCCACCTTTTATTAGACAGTCAAGCTCAGAGCTCACTTTTAAGAAGCATCTAAAAACATCTCTTTAACTTAGCATATTCAGTAACTGCAGTGACTTCAATGTACTGGCTGAGCTATTCTTAGGTTATAGAAGTGTATAATTAAACTTTGGGCCCACCAGTGGGCTCTGACCATTTAAGGGGTTAACTTTCAATTTCTCTCTGTGCTCAGTATAAAACCTGTTTCTCCATTCATTTCTTATGTCATCCTCAGTTCCTTCAAAATGCAAGGAACCATGCAGAGGATGTACCTGCACAGAGGAAAACCACTGCAGTTTTCATTTACCCCCCTCCTAGTATCTTTCTCCAGCTCAGCTCTAACTCGTCAACAAAGGGCCGACAGTTTAGCGACTACTTAAGCCCCTAAGTAGAGAAATTATGTAAAACGAAGTCATTTCAATATGAATGCGCCAAAGTGAGGAGCAACCTGCCAGACCCGTGATAACACGCCAAAGTTGTGTCTCACGCAATTTCTCTTTTGAAGAGACCTTTCATATGGCAATGAGCAAACACAGGAAGGGATGAGACGTGCAGGAAAGAAAATGTTTCCTCCCCCCTCTTTATCTCCTGAAGACACACCATGACATGGAGACAAAGGCCCTGCTTCATAGCAGCAAGGGGTTTAATTGTGGTGGGAGGCTGATAAAGAGGAGCGTGGGGGAGCTGGAGAAACAATGTCTTTACCCGTCTTAATAAACCTAAGAGGAGCCGCAGCGGGAATTAAGAACCACAGCATTAGTTGGCTGTGTGCACCCTCCGCCAGGTGGACCCCCACCAAGGCCTGCAGTACTTTTTTGCTTTTGCAGTGACACTGTGCACAATATTCCCTGCTGGGAATTGTCTTTGGGGTTTTATTTATTCATTATCCCCCCTTGGCGCCTGTATATACACATGCTATTTCAGAGTCAATTCTGGTCTTTCATGTAAAAACAGGGTTTTAACAGTAGATTTAAATAATTGAAAGTGGTTTAAAATAGTTCAGTTTCTAGGACTCATGTTCAGTGTGGTAGCACTGGTTCTGAATCAGAACACACAAGGATTAAGGACTGGAAAGAAAGCAGGAAACTGATCCAAGATTTCAGTATATATCTGTAAGTTATAATCACATTCATTACTGCATATATTCAAGTCATGAAGGCGCTGATAATAATCTGATGAGCTGATGAAAATAGAAGATCCAATTTACACAATTTTCCACTTAACTCCACATGTGGTTAATCGGCCAAGACATATCCGGTGTCCAAATTTTGCTTCTTTTCTTTAGCACTGGAGCTTGGACCTGATGTTGCTAACAACCCAAATCTTTTCCGTGAATACATCCCCAAAATTTCTCTCAACTCGCAAAAACTGCATTCAGGTCATTTCTAAAGGCCCCATATTCCACATTTTTCTTGCATTTCATTTTATCTCCTTTTGACCCAACATAATTTATTTAACATGCTGTTTGTGTTGCTGTGCTTTTAAGACTGATATATTCAAATGATGTTCTGTTCTGATTGGCTGTCCTGTATTGTGCCTCATTCAAAAAGCAGTTTGGGATGAAACACTTCTTATAACGTCAGCATGAATGGGCGGGGCTAAACTATCATATGCTGAATTGGTGGGTGAATTCCAAACAGACTGTTATTGCACCTTAATTTCCATATATGGACTGGGAAGTCAATAATACATTTTAAATCTTTAACAATGTTTACATACTACATTAAACTCTTTTATTTAAAAAGGTGGTTTGGTTTTCCACGATATGGGCCTTTTAAGGTTGCGCAGACTTGTCAAAGTGGTCTAGGACACAGTATGACTTATGTATGGGGATGTATTTGCAAAACAATTTGGGTGACTATTGACTTCTAGTGTTTGTTATCTACATATCTACACCTTGGCTGATTAGCTAGATCTGGGCTAAATAGAAATTCACACAAATTTGACTTTTTTCTGAAACATTCCTTTAAACGCTGGGGCGGGTCCACACTCATAACTACATAACTTACATATTAACTTACAATAACAAGCCATAAGATTAATAACCGAATAGTAAACCCTAATGTTTAAGAGATTAAGCCAAAACCTGAGCAGACAACTTCATAAACGTTTAACTGAAACTTGTACTGTGTGTGTGACTTTCAGATGTTCATCCAAACGACCACTCTGACCGTGTCGATGAGCCTGAGCGCCTCCGTGTCTCTGGGCATGCTCTACATGCCCAAAGTGTACGTCATCATCTTCCACCCTGAGCAGAATGTGCAGAAGCGGAAGCGCAGCTTCAAGGCCGTGGTGCAGGCCGCCACCATGTCCACACGCCTCTCGCAGAAGTCCAACAGCGACAAGCAAAACGGCGAGACCAAGCTGGAGCCGGACCGGATGCAGTAGCAGGTAACCCCAACTCCCGCCCCAGCTCGGGGTTTCTCAAAATGGAGAGTGCTGGTCTCCTGAGGCACTGCAGGAGGGCTAAGCTCTGTGGACTCTGTGCAGATTTAGTTTAGATCTATCTTTAGGGCTAATTAGTGGCAGTTAAAGGTGGAGGCGCTGTGGCACCTCTCTGGAGACGATGTCATATAGAGGCCTAGTTATTATAGTAGATGGACATTACTGCACTCATATTCAGGCTGTTCACTTTGTATTCTGATCTACATCCACTGTTCACACATAAAAATATGCTGAACTGATGTTTGAAATGAATGTATGCAGATCATAAAGTCATAAATTTTCATAAAATCAATTTATGCAGGTTTTAAAGTAATTAAAGTACTGTGTAAAAGTTCATCAGGTTCATGTTAAAATGGCCACTGAGTTATTTTTTAGTGTCGGGAAAAAAGCAGATAACATATATTAAACAGAAAATTACACAAAACCCACAAAATACTAACTATAAAATCAAACCTACCAGTAATTTAATTTGTCCATTCTTTACTTTTGTGCACTATCCTGCCACTTTAACTGTTTCTGTCCATCCTCCCTCTGTGAGAATGCTACAGCACTATGGGTTTGAAAGGATGTTCAGCTGTCAAAAAACTGTTACTGAGGAAAAGACAGAGAAAAAAAGAACATTTGCACTAGAACACAGAAAATGGACATCTGAGACGTGGAGGTTTTCTGGTCTGATGCAGGGGTCGGCAACCCAAATGTTAAAAAGAGCCATTTAGTCAAGTTTCAGCAAAAATCAAACCACCTTGGGAGCCACATTTCATGTCCATTTTGTTGAAGTAACGTTTCACCATCTTGGCTGTAAATATTTCTCAGTATGTGCTAATGTACTAGTATAGGTAAAAATATATAAACGAAAACACAGACTTACTTTGCTCTGCTTTAAGGTTTAGTTCAGCTATAGCCACTTTTCTCGCATCTCCAGCAGGAAACTTTTCCTCAAAAGTAGAACAGTTTCCTGTAAAATGTCTCTTAATTTTCGACTTTTTATGAGGCTGAAGTCGCTTCTCATTCACCAGCTTCTTGTTCGAATTTTCCCCTTCCATCTTAAGTGGTGCCTGAAGCACCAGAATGTAGTTAACTATGTAGCTAACTGTTGCACCATTTAAGGTGGAACAGTGAAATTCGAACAAGAAGCTGGCGAATGAGAAAGTGACTTCAGCTTCATGACTTTTTAGTGTTTGTCAGTTTCTCGTTGCAGATTAAACGTATCAGGAAACCAGCTGGAGTGATTATGAATGCAAATAAGTCCATTCGTCTCCAAATTATTGATGTTCGTCTTAAATCTTTCTCTTTGCCGTTTCGTTAGCTATTAGCTAGACGAGATTGTTGACTGCGTTGCCATGGTGACCAGCAGTCTGTGTGCCAACCTTCAGGGTAAAAGGGTGAATTAGCAGTTCTACATTAACTCCAACGTTTAAGACCATTTACTGTTAAACTGCGTTGAACGATCAGCAGAGCTTTATTTTACTGTAAAGGAGGATTATTTTATTTTTACCTACAAATCTAATTCTGCTGTGGAGCCGCAACAGGGCAGTGAAAGAGCCGCGTTTTGTCGACCCCTGGTCTAATGAGTCTAAATTTGTAATCAGGATTACTTTCATTGCGAGAAGCAGAAAATTCAACCAACTTCTAAGACTGAACTTTGGAAGTCTCACGAAAAGAACGGAGGCTGTAAAGGCAATGGGTGATCACACTAAATACAGAAAAATGTAATATAACATTTAGCCGTTGTAATTTTCTGTTAAACATAGATGTTTTTCTGCTTTCTTCCTGCTATTTTGATTGGAAATGAAATAAATGACTTTGGCACTGTGCTGTACATTGATTTGCACCTAAAAAATCATACGAGAGGGCCCGCAACGAAAGTTCACTGCTCTTGGAGTTTTACTCTTAGTACTGATACGGGATTGTTAGGAAATTTAATGCTGTTAATCCCGTATTTAAGGTGTTGTGAATCTTTAGGCAAGTGCCCCCTGGTCAATATATGCAAGACTTGCATACCACTCTCTCTCACGCTCTCTCTCTCTCTCTCTCCCTCTCTCTTTCTCTGTCTCCTGTCCTTCTAAATCTCTGCTAAGCTCTTTTACGTTGATTTTCCACTTGCCCTCTATCTCTGCAGAACACACTCGCTCTCTCTTCCAGCTGCAGCACATCTCATTACTTCACTATTACTTGAGCCTTTGAAAAAAATACCACTAAGCTTGCATAAAAATTCCCCGAAATAGTGATAGTTGATATGGATATTCCCACACTGCATGAAGACATTAGGGCGTGTAAGTAACTTAATTAAACTTGAATCATAAAAGACAAAGGAATAAACCTGGAGGGAGAGTTTAGGAAATGTAAAATAAACAACTAAATCATTTTCTGTAGAGTGAATTTTAACACCCGGAGAACAACAGGAAAACTGCAGCTGTGTTTCTGAATTATTCCACATTAAAGGGGCATTCAGCCCTAAAACGAGCATTTAATATGTTAATTGTTGAGTTATGTAGTATTCCATAGCACAGTATGGCATCCCGCAGCCTCATCAGTCTGACAGAATAAATTATTGTATTGTTGTTATGCTTTTGTCCATCAGTGTTCACAATAATACCCAGCATGAATTGCACAAACACTTCATACAACCATTGGAAAACCCTGTAGAACCTGTCAAAGGTTTTATTTAACCATTTCCAACCATTTGCCTCCCTGGCATCCCAGGATTAATTGTACTTATCATCCAGTACCTGGTGTGGCTAATCAATATTTCATTATATTAAGGTGCCTAAGACCTTTGCACAGTACTGTACATCTGTGGTGCTAGCCACTATTACTGATAGCTGTCTGCTTTGTCTTCTGGTGTTTTATTACAACTGTAAGTGTCCTTGGGTTCTTGTAGAGCACTATATAAGTTTCATGTATTATTGTTAAGCATTAACCTCAACTGGCCATCAAAGAGCCCACCCCAAAGTATTCATCCTGAAGCACTTGTAGGCTTTCAGAATTACTTCCACCTTTGCAATACATCATCTGAAGGTAATTTTCCCAGTCTTCGGAAAACCTGGCTTTAGAAACTACTGCTGTAAGAGGCAAGTAGACATGTTTACAACATATATCAATGGTTAAATTAGTCATTTTTGCCAGAGTGTCCCTTTGAAGAACCCTTATCCCACATTTGGTTTGTATTTTATTTTTTCCTTCTGAGCTCCACTTACAACATTTTTGTGGGTTGTACCAAAAACAGTCAATGCATTTGTATATGACCATTTTCCAACCTCTCTTTATCCCTTACGCTCTTAAAAAATATGGTTTTCATGGTTTCTTTAGTAAAGACAATGGTTCTAAGTTTAACCATGAACACTCAAAGAACCATTTGCCTGCTTAAAGAGCTGTGGCATGGTGAAATTATTCTTCAGATTGATGGACACTGTGTTGTATATGGTTATATATAGCGCCAAAAAGGGTTCTTCTATTGTTACAATGTCAAGATGTCAACAGTGGTGCTAATATAGAACCCCTTTCATTGTCCATCAATCTAAAGAGCTATTTCATCATGCAAAGAAGCCTTTTAGCATGCAAATGGTTCTTTGAGTGTTCGTGGTTCTATATAGAACCATTGTCTTTACTAAAGAACCCTTGAAGAATCATCTTTTTTTTAAAGGTGTAGAATTAACCTGTTTTTGTTACTCTACCTTTAACACTGACACACACACACACACACACACACACACACATATATATATATATAAAATGAGCATAAATGAGCTTTGTTCCGATTGGCTGCTATGTATTGTGCTTTAGAATTAGAATTGAATTAGAAATTGGAAATATGGGTGGGTGGGGCTAAACTGTTGCGGGCTGAAATAGGAGGATATATGTAAATGTGTTGGTTTTTATGACTTCACAGAAACAGTGAATTCAAAACAGGCTGCTTAGGTTTGAACCACAAAGTTAGATGTTTTGAGGGAATGTTTCGAAACGTCCGCAATATTACCACATCATCATAAGCTCTTTTATTTCAAGAAACTGAGAACAATTCAGTTTTCCATTATATGGGCCTTTTTACTAAACACACTGAATTCACACAGTGCAGGATCAGATTAGCCTGAATGAGGAAAGGGCTCTGAACTGCTTACTCTTTGCAACTGTCATTGCATAAGGTAACAGATAATTATCTCATAGTTCATCTTTCTACCTAAAACAGCCTTATAAGGAGAGATTAATAAACGTCTGTCATTGAATAGGTGAATTTCTTCTGTTCTTTTCATCATATCATATTAACCACGTTAGTTTGATATCATGGATGTTATCGTTTTCATTTTCAAACAGGATATTGAAAAGAAGCAAGCGTGCCATGAGTAATCTGTCATCATAAGATGAGTAATAACGGGGCATAAGAAAAGCACCAAGAATGATTACTTTATAAATACACAGTATATCACTGCTGTCGGAACAAAACCTTGTATCTCCATTTTTGTCGTTTTTCAGGTTTTTTGGGTTTTTTTTGTGTGTAAATTTCATGATGATTGGACCAAAAGAAACGGCCCAAAATGACTTGGAAAAACGTTTGGTTCCACTGACTTACATTAAAAGTAAAGTATGTTTTTTCCTTTTCCTGTAAAGTTATCATTTTGGAGATACGAGGTTTTGCTCCGACAGCAGCGATATGTTCATTGCGATGTAATCAAACCTCAGAAGATGTTTTAGAGGTGTGAACAAGTCAAACAAGAATTTTGACTTTTAAATGGTTTAGTATTATGATTCATGCTTAACCCTTTAAAATCTGTCTTATTACAAACTAAGGCTTATTATTCAGTAAATACAAGGACGTCAATGCAAACTGGCAGAGCTATTCTTCGGTTATAGAAGTGTGTAATAAATGTTTGGGCCCTGGCCATTTAAGGGGTTAATATGACCAGAAATATGTACTAACAAGGTTATAAAGGTCAGTTTTGAGTTCAGGTTGACTTTAACTTTGCATTGCTATTCATTGCTGTTGTTTTTGTGTATGCCAACAGGTGACCCAGAGTGACACCCTCGGCTACGGTGAACAGAAGGACTGCATTAAAGGGAAACTTCAGCAGAACTGCAGACACTTGATTTTCATATGAGGGTGACTATAAGGATGTGGCACAAACTGCAAAAGCAGCAAAGCACAGAAGAAATATGAACCTTTCTGAAAAAAAGCCGTTCCTGAGCCGCTTTATTTAAACCTGAAAAGTCTTGATGAGACATTTTTTGTCTGGACGAACTGTTTTTGGTGGCAGAGGATCGCTTGGAACACATTTCAGACACTTCTTGCTTACTTTTGTTACTGGCAAAAAAAAAAAGGAATGAGGAAAATGTTTGTAAGTCAGTAGTACGCCTGATCTAGCAGTGCAGCATGGGATGTTCATTGGCGTGTTTGTGCGTTGGTGTTGTCATGCGGCCGTGGCCGACAGGACTCCTCTAGAATCCATTCCACCGTGTGTAAACTCTCCCGATCTACAGATTACAGGTGTTAACCAGCAGTGAAGTAAAATCATCGCTCATCTACTGTTACAAATCTAACATCGTGTCAGCTTTCCAAGATTCCGTCTCAGAATGTAGGCTTTATTTCAGTCTGTATGTTTATTTCAGAGAAGATCTCTGCTACATATGCTGACCTGTTCTTAACATGAGTCGGTGCAATGTAAGTTCTTTAATATCTTCATTTAGGGCATATTTATATATAAACACAATATTTATAAAGTAGGACTATTTATTTAAATTATAAAGTATCAAATTCATTTTAAGTTCAGTCATCTATTTTTTCATCATTGCTAAATAATTTTTATGTACAGACCTATTTATTTTTAGACCTTTTGGCCAAAGATAAGTGTTGGTGCTCTTTGAAAAACACTTACAGTATTAAACGAGAGCCACTACAGCACATTCAGATTCACTCCACCCATCACATTTAATTTATATTTATTTTTAAGATCTTTAGGCACTAAAGATATACAGCGCAGTCCAAAAGTCAAAGAGCACCCTTTATTTATTTATCCAGTCAAAACAACCATTATGTACAAGAAATGAATTTATTGACATCTGAAAAAAGCAGAAGACATATCAGAAAATCACACAGAAGCCTCAACAGCTAAATATAATATTAAATATTTCAGTATTTATTGTGTTCATTCTTTGCCTTTATTATAGCTTCCATTCTTTTCAGGAGACTCGCTTTAAGTTTTTCAAAGAAATCTCCAAAAATATTTTCCCATATTTACAAAGTTCAGTCTTAGAAGTTGGTTGCATTTTCTTCTTCTTATGACACATTCAGTGATCCTGAGGTCTGGACTCTGGGGTGGTCAGTCCATTGTTCTTTGTCTCTGAGCTAAGTAAACTAGGGTGGTCTTTGACTTTTGCACAGCACTGTACACAAAATGCATTATTATTATTATTATTATTATTATTATTATTAGTGTCTTTTTTAGGTATATGAATGTACTATTTATAGTGCAGTTTTATCAAACTGGTCTAAAAACTGGTATGTAAAGTAAAAGACTGTACAGTTTAATAGTTTTTCTCTGTAAATACAGGAAAAGTGAAGCTAATGAATTGGGTCAGTATGGTACTATGTACTTATTCTGTGTTATGAAACGAGTCTTTCATTCGTGTATGTTACGGGAAAGTGCTTGCATGGGGTCTTAATTCTGGCATTTATGTTTTCCATGTTCTGAAACGAGGAAAGAAATCATTTTCTAGGCCGCCTTTGTATACAGTGGGAGCTCCAGGAAACATCTATAAATCTAAAAAAATAATAACAGCACTACAAACTTTGCCACTTTGAGCATTTCTCAAATAATCTGACAGTTCTGCTTGTCAGCGTGCAAAACAGCAGTGATATCACAGCCGCAGTCCATTTCAACTGAAATCACAGAGTCGCAACCTCTTGTTCTTGTTCCAGTCTTCACTGGGCTACTTTGTTCTAAAAGAAACAAACGTTCAAGTTGGTGGTTTTAATCCAACCTATGATGAAAACATTTGTATTTTGTTAGCTGAGTACTGAATAATCATGGAATACATTTGTACTTTGTTAGATGAATACTGAAGAATCATGAAATAAATGCCATACAACACAATTCAGCTTGAAACTTGTTCAGTCTGTCATTTTTTAATTACACTTTTTTAACAGGCCTGCAATGTTGGTTTAACTCATTTAAGTCCAGCTGCACACAAACACTGTAAGAGTTAATTCAACATTGTCAGAGTGAATTTAACACACCTTCAAAGTTCAGGTTTAGAAGTTGGTTGCATTTTATGCCTCTCACGATCCAAGTAAGCTCAAAATTGTAAGGAAAACACTTTAGCTAAATACAAACAGAATCACTGTCTTCCTTATAATTTTGCTCTGTGACTGAGGTGAGAGTTACGCTGCAGTGGCTAGACTGACACACAGGATTGGTTGACACCACAGGGATTACCCATTCAGCCCGAAACAAGAAGCCCCCTGAGGTAAAGTGTCCAGGTAGCCAGGTTGCCTTCTTGCTAACTTTCATTTTTAGCTTTCCACTCTCATGTTTGTCACTCCAGTAATCCATTCTCTCGGTTGTAATGATGAGTTGAAGAAAATAACTACAGCTGTATGACTGCAGTAACATTAGCTATTTGATTTCCTTCTTTATTCTCAAGCTAGCTGAACAAATCTACCCTGAAGCAGTGGCAGTTTCTCAAAAGTTCCCACCTTAAAGATATGTCATTAGCAGGGGGTTTTCCTAAGCATTAGAATCATGTAACGTAGTAATAAATATGTGATCTGAGTTTGTCACACCACAGAAAAATGTGTTATTAACCACCCAGCCAAATTTGAACGATTAAAAAAATTAGCAAGTATAAAAGATTAAGTTTCAAAATTATGAATAAATGAGCAGTGTTCACTGGGGCGTGTCCACTGAGTGCACTGAAACCTTGCCCAATAGTGGGAAACGTTCAGCCTCTCTCAGGATTTCTATGTCGTATTTGTCAAAACATAGCTGCTGCGACATTTAAGGTGGAACGGAAATATTCACATAGGAAGCTGTCATCAGCTTCGTGAACGCAGATGTTTATGTGGAGTCTGGCCTCTTCCTATTTCCCCCGTTAAATCAAAAACATGACTGCAAAACACCAGAGTGCACCCGCAAGCGAGTCCTCAATGAATGAGAGTAAACGGAGCTAAACAGCTAAAAACGAAAAGTTAAAATAGTTTCTAATCACTCGCCCAGAACTTTCCTTTAATTTTAAAAGGCAGAAGGATGAATTTTACTAAGAAAGCAAAGAAAACTCACCTGTATGTTTCCTTTGTTCTACAGCAAACGGGTTTTGGGCAGCAGGACACTAACATTACTGCTACTGAGCGCTGATTGGTTGGTGAGTGGCGCAGCTCATTGGCTGTTCGCACTCACTGATGTCATGAACGTACATGAGGCGCCGTTTTAAGTTATGGAGTTCAAAAGCTCTTCAAAATATAACAGCGGTGTTAAAATGTTTTATGCTGTTATTTGCTCAGAAAACAAATGTATTCTTTTACATAAAATCTTTTACATTAGTATGTTTCTGTTTTATGATTTTGCTGAAATGCTCCATCTTAACCCATTCATTTTGTACTCGCTCAGGAGCGCCCTCTAGCGTCTGAGAAACCCGGTAGACGTTACACAGTGGTAATTTTCCTCACTGCATGTTCTCTGGTGTACGCCAGAATGTAACTGCCACACCATTAAAGGCCGAACAAAGAAGAAGCTGGTGAATAGGAAGTTGAAGTTTTTATACTGTTATAGTGTCGGGGGAAGGGTTATGCTAAGAATGGCTCTTGTTTTTATTGCGTTATGGTGTCGGGGAAGGAGTCGTGCTCAGTATGGCTGTAGTGTTAGGGGGCGGCTCCAAGTATGACTCTAGTTTTTAAGTCATTATGGTGTTAGGAGAGGGGTCATGCTAAGTATGACTCTAGTTTTTAAGTCATTATGGTGTTAGGAGAGGGGTCACGCTAAGTATGACTCTAGTTTTTAAGTCATTATGGTGTTAGGAGAGGGGTCACGCTAAGTATGACTCTAGTTTTTAAGTCATTATGGTGTTAGGAGAGGGGTCACGCTAAGTATGACTCTAGTTTTTAAGTCATTATGGTGTTAGGAGAGGGGTCACGCTAAGTATGACTCTAGTTTTTAAGTCATTATGGTGTTAGGAGAGGGGTCACGCTAAGTATGACTCTAGTTTTTAAGTCATTATGGTGTTAGGAGAGGGGTCACGCTAAGTATGGCTCTAGTTTTTAAGGCATTATGGTGTTAGGAGAGGGGTCACGCTAAGTATGGCTCTAGTTTTTGTAGCGTGTTAGTGTCAGGGGAGGGGTCTAAGTATGGCTCTAGTTTTTATAGCGTGTTAGTGTCAGGGGAGGGGTCTAAGTATGGTTTGAATTTTTATATAGTTATGGTTTTGGGGGAGAGGTCATGCTAAGTATGGCTCCAGTGTGTTATAGAGCCATTATTTCAGGCCTGCTGAAAAATTCCATAACAACAAAAATGATTAAAACAGTTTAACGGTCTAACTCCACAATTCAGTACTACACAGCTCACAGTCTTTGTTTACATGTTTTCAGCCAGTTCTTACATGTGTAACGTGTTTAGAAACAAGTCTCTGAATTTACACAGACTTTAAAACCGAATATCTTACTCTGGAGTCCACCGTAGCAGCGCTGTAAGATGTGAGTAAGCTTGTTTACAACAGATGTAGAAATTGTTGCATTTTTCACTTTGACCAGAATGTCCTTTTAAGATGTTAATTAAATGGAGGTTTTGCTATGAGGCCTTCTGCTGTAATTTTTTCTGGGACGACATCGTGGTATTATCAAGAATGAGAGGTTTGCATTTGCCTCGTATTTTTAATCAAAAGTTTAAGCCCCCGAAAGCGAGGTAGAAGATGTTGATGGGTGGAATAGAATGGCCAGTGTGTTGCCAGTGCTGCCAGATAACACTGAACAAAAATGAAGCGTTTTAATAATGTAAACACTTGGCTTTTCTCATTTCAATGTTCTACAAGCTAATAGTCAATTTCGTGCTACATAAAGCCTTCATTCTGACCTCTACACAGTCACCCTGACTACCGATGGACCTGAAAACCATTCACGTATCACAGCTGACTCAGGCCAGAGCAGAAGGGCCGGAAACTTGTCATTTCTCTCATGCATTTTGGATGCTGCATTATATGGCATTGCTGCATATAAGGCATAAGGTATACTGCTCTTATTGCTTCAGCATAAATATTAATAGAAATGAAAGGGAATTATTCTGTTCGCTTTACATAAGTCCCTGTAGCCCACTGTACTGTTTGTGGACAGAAATGCATGGTGGAGTTGCCGTCAAAAGGAGTCTACGTCCTCTCTCTCTGTTTGTTGACACTACAGAGAAAGCGCGGCCTGCTGTCAGCACGCTTCATCCTCGGACCGTGCCCAAATCAAAGCAGCTCCGCGTACGCAGCCCATTAAACATAGATGATAGACACAGAGCTCTAGGTGAAGAGAAGTTTGCTATCAGATGGATGACTACAGCAACGAATAATGAGAGAAATCTGAAAGAGGCAGACCATTTCCATTTCTCATATCAACAGCCTACTGCTTAAAGGGATACTTCACCCCAAAATGCTAATGCTGTTAATAATGAATGTGAGAGAATGGGGGCTGGTTGGCACTGACCTGTAGAAATATAAATGTGGTTTACAGCCAGAAGCCCTGGAAAAAAAAATGCTGTTTACACTGAAAAACTTTCTACCCAAACTCTGCTGCTACTTTAATGGGGAAGTTCACTGATTTTTCAAAATTTCTGCATA